TTAATGCATTTGCACAAAGTATTCATCAGAGGAACTTACATTGTTTGTTGCCCGAAGCCTGCCAGTTTTTGGGCCATCACAGCATCCATAGTTATCAAGACTAACTTCATATGGTTCTTCATTCACATGATCTGTGGCTTCCATGCATGCTTTTACCCCTACACCCATCAACAAAGAGAAAACAAGGGACAGTCAGGTTAGGTGATAAAACACAATTATAAAACACCTCAGTAAAAAAAGTGCACATTTTTTTAAACACAGGTCGTAATTTAGTCAATAGTCATTCATAGAAAATGTAATTATAGCAGCAAGGCAGAATATCTGGGTATAGCTTACAGTCAATTTTCAGAATCCATCTTCCAGCCAAAATGGCCATGCAAGTTTTGAATGTCCTGACATATGCACCGTCCCCATCCAGGGCTGCAATCAAATGTGTAACATTTGGTCTCCAGGTCTTGGACACAGTTGCACCAGTCTTCTTGGCAAACTTGACTAAAAGAAGCTGCACCATTTAGAGAAATAATAAGTTTCTGATACAGCAACCAAGATAATAAGTTTATACAGTACAACATGTTCTGTACACCACAAAATAAAATAATAAAATAAAATAAAAAGTTGGCATGACAGATTTATTCAATTGGGAGACCTCGAGGCCCAGAAACCAGAAGCTTTAGTTCTCCAATCCATCTCAACAATGTTCTCGTATATGTTATCCATCTAGAGATAAGCCTTTACGGACTACAAACAGCATAATGTTATTAAAATTAAATCACAGATTACCATTTTCCACAATGCTTGTTTTCATGCAGATTATATAGAGTGAAAACAAAATGATAATTGGACCACAGCCAGGTCAATGAAAGCAAAGAAAAGAAGGGATCAATGTTGTTGGAGAGATATTTTCTAAGATTATCTAAAGACAACTTTCCAAGTCTTCATGACAACATGGAACCAAGTGACTAATGAGAGGAGAAATTCTTTTCGACTAACCTTTTCTTCAGAAGACAAACCGGATGGGCATATAATCCATTGATTCATTTCATTTGCAGCTTCCAAACTGTTGGACTGGGGACAGATTCTGTGTGCAGAATGAGAGAAAATCAGATATCAAATTAAACATTGAAAGAAAGAAGTAATATCCAACGGCAATATTACTAAGAAAAAAAAAAAAAAAAACTTTCCAAGCCTTTTCTTTGTACAGACTAACAGTAGTAAATAAAATATATTGAGCTTGAAGAGCCAAGAGTTAAATATAGGGACTAAAATACAGGAATTCTACTTGCTTCAACAAGAGAATGATGTCTTACTTGGGCTTCCCATAATTTGACTTCTCACCGGGAAATTTAGTTGAACGATGAGCTGGACATAGCAGCAGAAAGTTTTCCTATATAATGTTCAAAAAGACAACGTTAACTATTATTTAAGGCTTAACAGACATTGGCCACCAAAACAAATTATATTAAATAATCTAAAAGGTATAACAACAAAAGGGCATGAGAAAGAAGTTGATTACAAATATATGCTACTACATGTAAAAGAAGATAATAAATACCTTGTCCCAGCGACATTTAGAAATTTCAGTTGCACAGGTAACATGATAGCTTCTCCGGCAGGACTTTACAAAGCATCCCAAAGCTGCTCCCTTTAGCCCACATTTGGTGCATTTTAGCTTTGCACCCCTTGAGACTTCTGCCTTCAATCCCTTAACATTTTCACCTTCGAAATACACTTGTGGTGCCCTGAATTTCAAAATCCATAATATGTTTATCTAGTAGGCTAGTAGCACATAAGGTGATTAACAACAAATAGATCAAAGTAAAATAGCAATCATGTTATTGAATAGGTAAAAGTGAACTGACAATAATGTTCTTACAGTTATAGAAATCAGACAAAGATTCCAAAAACAGAAAGTAACTAAGAAAATTATTATTGCTAACATAGTAACTTAATGCCATTGATTGTGATGAGCAGAAACACTAAAGTCAAAAGGTTCAGTAGAGAGGATTTTGTGTTTTTTTTAATATAAAATTTGTTTCATTTTATATGCACAGGAAACATAACATACATTATATGCCCATCTTTGAAAATACAGAATATTTTCTGTATAATTGAAAAGTATGAAAATCAAGAGTATCTTTCAGAAAGAGAAAACACCCATATATGGACTAGACATCGCTAACTACGCTAGACCAAAATTATCATCATTACTGCTTGAACATACCAATCAATGCATATTCTGTGAACATGTATGACATTTGAAGCATTTGCCTCATCTCCCTCTACCAGTCTCTCTTTAGAATAATGCAACATTGGCCCTGTAACCTGAAATATTTCATCAATTCAACTGAGTTATATGTTACCAACTTACTGTGTATGTAAAAAGCCACAAAGATTAACATAACTAACCTCCGAGATCATAGAAGACTGGCAAAATACACAAATTGTTCTCTTTGTGAATGATTCATTAGGTGGTGTACTGAACTTATGTTCAAGCTCAGAATAAGTCTCTAAAACTGGCTCATACTTTATTTTCTTTCTTAAATGACCATCAATTTCAGTTGCACAACTATCATGTCTTTTCTGCCCTGCTCTACCATCATCAATTTTGCTGATCGATCTCCTGACCAAAGAATTTTCTGAAATCTGAAGAAAGCATTACATAAAAATATATATAATTAATCTCATCATAAGACAGTAAAATTTATGGCATTAGTAAATTAAGAAACCATTAAATCCTTACTTGCTCACAGCGCCGACCACAGCTATCATTATCTGAACATTTGGCATCACCAAATGAAGGAGGACTGTTGGGCAATGACTGTGCTGCATGATTCATGTCTCCTACTACAGTCATGCACTCGTCGAGTCCACCAGCTCTTATTTGAGAACTTGGTGGTTGTGAATTGGGATTTCCCACTCCGCTTCTAGCAAAATCTAATACCTTGCCATCAGCATCTATTGGCATGCTACACTTATCTACATTGTCATTGTTGCCAACTCCATCAGCTACAGAACGATTCAGACTACAAGGAGCCCAAACTCGTTCATGAGCACTCGATGAATAGATGGATTGCCCACTGTTTGAATTACCTCCTTGGTCATTGTCAAATGGTTCTTTAGTCATTTTCCCAGCAAAACTGATATTAGGCAAAACAGGGTTTTGCTCCAGAATGGTTCTAACATCTGCATTGATCAAAACCAACACACAAAGCTAAAACATTATTGTCTGCATAGAGTTTAGAAACCATATTAACTTCCAAATAAGTGTATTTACACATTAAGCTTGTACCGGAAGAAACAGGCTGGAACAAATTGGCACAGAAAGACGCATCCAAGCTTTTGTAGATCGCTACTATGTTTTCCATGAACGGCACAGGCCTGAGATCTACCAGCCCACAAAACCAATGCATCAGAAATAAAATTAATTGGCTTTAATTACTTGTTTCCACAATAAACTGTTTTGGTAATTCATCAAATAATGTCCTTGCAAGAACATCCATAAAAAAACAACTATTTCAGCCATAAATAAATATAATTTCTTCAACTAAAAAATAAATACCTCGGTCCGCAACCTGAGCTTTACAAACCGGGCAACTCGAACTGGGTATGCAGCAACTGCAAGCAATTCAAAAACCCAGTACAGAAAAAAACCCTAAAGTAAGAATCTTGAGACAGAAATTGATCAATTATTAGGAGAAAAAAATAAGAGAGAGAGGGAGAGAGAAGACGCACTTGCAGAAAATGTGATCGCATGGAAGCAACGTCGGTCGATTAAGCAAATTCAAGCTGAACCCACCAATAAAAACACAAAAAATACAAAACCCATTTCAGATAAAGCCTGTTTGCTTCAAATAAATCAAAATAAAATTCGAAAATTCGAAAACGTAAAAACTTGAAAACTTGAAAAAAGAAATGGAATTTAGGGGAGCGAATCGAACCAGAGGGGGCACTTGAGCTCGAGACCCAGTTTCTGGAAATGGAGAACCCACGGGTTCATCATCGACCTGGTATTGCCACTGTCGCTGCATTTACGGTTAGGGTTTGCGTCCACCATTGAAACGGAGCGTCGGAAACTCTGAGAGAGTTGCAGAGAGAACTAAAAAGTGAGAGTTCTTCGGGAGGAGCTTGGAGTATTTAGATGTCTTTGCAGATGGTGTGTTGGAGCGGCGGAGGACACGTGTACAGTAGTGATTTCTCTGCGGAAGAGGAAATGGGCGGGGTGATAGATTTGAGCCGAACGGTAACTTTTCAAACTCGCGCGCTTTTCCGGATTTAGTTTTCAGAGACTCCCGCCTAAGCTGTTGGATCTTGCCGATATTTTGACTTTTCTTTTTTTGGTCAGATGTCGCCGATATATCTACATCTCGCGAGTAATTTCATTTCTCAGCTTGGCTTTTATTGCCTTTCGCATGCCGTGGGACACTCCCACATCTGATGGTCATGATTCGTTCTTATTAATTTGATATTTGATGACGAGATATTATTTTATTAGTTTAATATTTAATAAAACGTCATAATTGATAATGATTATTTGTTTATATAAATATTTATTTAATTTTAAAGGTTGCTTAGTCATTTATATGAATTCAATGAATTGACAGTTCGTCACAATGGTAATTATCAATTTATTTGATACATATGGATCTCTAAAAAAATAGACATTACCCTAATACTAATAAGGACAATAAACTCGAATGATTATAACGTTTGTATGGTAGAATCATTGTCACGTCATCATTAAAAAGGGAATAAATATGTAAAATGTCAAGTATTATCCTATGAGAAATTTCTTTTTCAAAATGCTTTTCTTAATACAATAATATTTACATTAGAGGTGGAAGAATAAAACAGTATCCAATTTTGTCATTTACGAGATTTGAACATAAAACATTTTACTTACAAGCTATTTTATTCAATGAAATTTGTGTCTTTAAAATGTAAAGATTGTGATTAATATTTATTGTTAATTACTTGAATATAAACACACAAATTTCATCTGATTCTAAAGCAAATTAGGTTGAACATTGTCACAATTTGTTGATACAATACATAAATAAATAAAAAAGCTTCTGTCATTTGTTTTATTTTCTTATAGCCTGTTCATCACATTGACCGTCATTCCCTTCCTCTGCCGGAACGTTCTTCTCCACGGCCTCATAGATGTCCGTCGCAGCCAACTATGCAGATGGTTCATTAGTTTCTTCAATGATCTGTAACGTATCAACTGCATTGTCAGACGCTTTTTCGAAGACCTTAGTTTGAGGACATGGTTCTTTAATCAATGGTGTTGTTTCTGCGCTAGAGGCAGCTTCAGCTTTGTCCATGGCTACCACATCATCCTCTGAAGGACTTAAAGCATCATCCTCGAAAGACTCAGTTACGCGCTGTGATTCAACAGTGCGTGGTTCAGCAAACGATTCTGTTTCAGCATTAATGGCAACTTCCGGTTCCACAGAATCATCCAAAGAACTTGTAACATCTTCCTGAAAAGATTCAGATGCATTTTCGGACTTCTCCATGCATCCAGGATCATATGTGGCCATTTCGTCCTCCTCTGACTCTGCATAATCTTCTAAAGAGCTTATAACATTGTCCGCAAAAGACTTAGCCGGATTCTTGGATTGGTCCCCAGATGGTTCTGTATCCAATGGTTCTGATTCAGCATTAAGCGCACCTTCCGAACCATATGTGGCTACTAAACTCTCATTTGAAGAACAAGCATCATCCTGAACAGAGTCGGTGGAAATCTTGAACTTCTCCATGCATGGTTCTTCTGCATTCAATGGTTCCAATTCTGCATTGGAGACGCCTTCTGAATCATCTGTGACTACTGCATCCTCCTCTGAAGAACTACGATCATCCTGGAAAGATTCAGTGGCGAACTTGCATGGTTCCTCCTCCCCTGATTCTAGTTCAGAGAGAGGCTCTTGGTCCACACGTGACTGTGAATTCTCAATCTCCAGCAGCTTTTGGATTGCTTCGGCAGCAGAGTCTATAGCCCATACATCCTCGCTGACATCTCTACGCAAAAGGAGTCATGAAACTGTTTTAAGAAATCAACCAAAATGCATTCTTTTCTTGAATGGCTGCAGATGCATGCTAAATGATGATTTTTGCGGTTAGCACATGTGAAAAAGATGGCCACAAGCAATACCTTTTTGGATCTAGTCCAGCTGAAAGCAAGGCCGATTTCATGAGATTTATGAGAAACAAAGGGTTGTTGGAGAAGTATCCTCCATACGCTGAGATTTCCACCAGAAATTGCACGTCCAAAACAAACTGCTCCATGAAATATAAACAAAAGGAAATAAATTGAATGAACAAGGATGATGATAAAATGGACTAGTACACACGGTTGATAGCACTTCTCGAAGCATAAGGGAAAGCAAAGCAAAATGGAACCAGAGACCTGCTTCGAGTTGAAAGGATGCTCTTCCATCATATTCTCGCTATCGGTATCCCAGATCTCTATGTTGTTTGGAATCCAAGCAAATACGGCCTCTATGAGCTCCCTTAGTAGCTCCATTAACCAATCAATTTCAAAGACATTGTCTTCAGAAAGCTTTTCCAGTTTCCGAAGTTCTAAAAACAGTACCTGATAATGAGACATCAGAATCAAAGGCGTATAAGCATCGTATAATCTAGTTCACAAACAACAAGCTTTGTACCAATAGGAGTTAGTAACTCTGGGGGAAATCAAAAGAAAATTGCTGAAACAGTGAATGAATAGTGACACTACTCTTCAAGTTATTTAAATGAAAACAAAATCAGCACAATTATCTGATTCGCAAAGTCACCTGAGAAGCAAGAGAGGGCATCAATCCCTGGAACACGCAAGACTCACCCTGGTCGTCAATGCAATTTTCGGGAGTAAGGTTGTCACTATTTCTTAGGGACATAATTTTACATATAAATTGCTCACAATAAAGATCTCTGAGACGACTAGAAGCCTCCTGAATCAATGAGATACAACTATCAAGTTCCTTCGCTTGATAACTGTCTGGAAGGGTTTTCATTAACTCAGAGTTGATGTCACTGACAGCCTTGAAGATACTTCTAACCATGTTGGAGAAGAGTTGCTCGAGCGATGACAGATTGGCTAGTATTGAAACCTGTTGCTGCACTGACTCGGCCAAGTATATTCTTGGATTACTTTTTTCTTTAACAGTCACCTGACAGTTGATGGCTATCGCAAGGATGTCTACATACTTTTTAAAGAGATTCATAAGTCCGCTAACGATTAATCCTTCGATTTGAAGGGAAACTAATGGGGTGACATCTAAAGTGATAGACTGGAAGGGAAAGAAAAAGTTGAGTGAGAAAAACATCATACAAGAAAGCTAAACTTTGCTGGGATTTTGTCGAAAATCAATTCAAAGAAAAAATGATACCTGCAGCAGCGTTACAAACTTCCTGCCGCTGTTTGTGAGCAAGCAATATTCTGGTTGTTGGCCAACAACCATGGAAGAGCACCCTTCATTCATGATTCCAGATACAAGATATCTTCCCAAAACCCAAGCATCAGTTGCTGTAAAGATATCGACGACTTTCTTAAAATGGTCTAGGTGTTTACGCAGAACCTCTTCGATACAAGGGCGAATGTAGTTGATCAAGTACGGCCGCAACACTAATCTCTGACTTTCCAACAAAGAGCAAAAAGACATTGCAAACTGCACAGCTTCTACTGCTGTGGACAATCCACCACTTATTTCTGATATGGATTTCACATACCTGTCGAAACAAGCACCAAACAATTTTGTTTCTCTACGAGCCCACTGGATAAGTTCTGATGCATAAGAAGAAGTCTCCCCATATAACATCACAAAACTTCTTGCTGCTTGAGAAATCATAGAGAACACAAACTTTGAAAGCTCCCTGATATAAACCCTATTCAAAAACGATTTCGAAGCCTGCAAATTTAGTGTCCCAGACGCAATGCGCGAACGGTAATACTTGATCAACAATTGTGTTGCGAGATGGCTGTCACCTAGTCTGCAGAGCCCCACCAGCGCTTTCTGAAGTTCCGGCGCAGCTATTCTTGGATTTTCAGCCACCATTGTCAACTGCATTGTAACCAAAGCCTTCCTCTCGGAAATTTCAGTACTAAATAACCTCAGCTCATCCAACGGGCGACCCTCCTCAAACTGCAACCTCTGGAAATTCTCGTCCTCTAATTCGAAGATGGTCAATGCTTCATCGATTCTGTTTTCAGACAAGAGAGTGTCCAAGGTTGCTAAAACATCATTTGCATGATCCCCTAAGTTGGTGATGGTAACTGGTTCTGAAAATTCCGAAAATTCGGGTTCTTCAAAAACCAAGTCTATAGTCTCCTTTGATAAAACCTTCAAATATATGCCATCTGCAAGTTCACTTACAAGCCTCTTTTGGGTCACTACATGGTTCTTCAGTTGCTTCAACTCATTTTCCACAAGCCCTACTTCTTCAAATATTCTACAAAAATGAAAGATAAAACACATTCCCACTTATTTTTGCTGACAAATATTCACCTCAATTCACTATTGCGATTGACTTCAAACTTAAGAAAAACTACATATAAGTAAAGATAATTGCACAATAAAAAGAGAATTTTCAATAGAACTGTCACACCGCCACCTAATGCTACCAATCCACAGGTTATGATATGAGTACATTGCCGTCGATTGGTGAAAGTTAAAAGTTTGGTGAAAGTTGACCGATTGGTGAAAGTTGAAAGATTGATGAAAGTTGAAGGCTTGCTTTGTATGTATTTTGTATGTGTTTCATGTGTCATGTGTTCTGTGTGTGCTTCATATCTATCATGTGTTTTGTATGTCCTTCACATGTGTTTTGTATGTGTTTCACATGTGTTCTGTGTGTCTTATGTGTTTTATATATTTTGTGTTTATACATCTCTATCATGATTTTCATATTCTTCGATAATGTTTCATACGTTTCATGTATCGATTTAGTGAATTTTCAATATTTATCGGAATTTAAATATTTTTAAATTAAAATGTTCATAAAATTAATTTACGATAGTCTACATAATATTTTTTTTTAAAGTTAATTTAAGAAAAAAATTAGCCTAAGTTTATTCTTTAATAATCCCGTGCTAAAATTTTAGGCCAAAAGGGTTGGAGCAAAAAATCTATTTATAAGCTAAAAGCTAAATTTTCCGGGCTAAAAAATTTGGCTTTTAGCCCAAGGGTTGGAGATGGTCTTATAACTTTATAACATATGGATTGATAACATTATGTGACGATGTAACCTTCATACTCAAAACTTTCTCTAAAGGTCGTACCAAGTGCACAAGCTCCCACTTTACGCAGGGTCTGGGAGAGATGAATGTCGGCTAGCCTTACCCTCATTTATGGAGAGGCTGCTCCCAAGTCTCGAACCCGAGACCTACCGCTCATGGGTAAAGGCACTTGTCATCGCACCAAGTGCAACCTTTATACTCAAAACTTTCTCTAAAATACATAATTTATACTCTGCTGAATAATTAGAAAAGATGTATACCTAGACCCTTTTTTAGAGTGACTGTCACACTACTGTTACAAATTTATTAAACTCAAAAATTTATCCACAAAAGTTTATACCTGACGAAGGCCGAATAATTCGAAAAGATGTGTTTGTGAAATTCTTCGCCGGATGCAGCCTTTAGCTCCAAGAGTTCTGAACACAGATGCTTAATTCCCTATAATCAACAGCATATTATATTAAGTGAACCTTTTTCCTCACATTTTCTCGGAAACCAAACAGAAAGTAATCAACTAAATCAATTAAACGAACAGAAAGAACTGACCTTTCCAGTCATGGATTGAAGGTCGGACTCGTCGTCTTCTCCGTCGCTGGACACGGAGGACAAGTCAGAGGCGGTGTCGGACTGCGTGGAGTTCTCCATTTCCGGCAGGTCCCGGAATCGGAATCTGGAAGAAGTGGAAGAAGATTCCATTGAAACTGGCTTCCCATCACCCAAACGGCCCCGTATTCTCCAATGGAGGATATAAAGGAAGCAGTAGCCATTGGAAGCCGCTAAAAAATCCAGCCTTTTCCCTTGGACTCTCTCTCTCGTCGTTTCCTACTTCTGTTGGCTACTTCTGTTGGCGCGCGCGCTCTTTGGTTTCTTCGTTCATATGCTGAAACGACTTCGTTTCGTACTTCCCAGTTCCATTGCCGGCCTTCTGCTTGTGTAGCAAGCATTTTGTCTAGGACACCTCTTTTACTTCTCCTACACATTTTTGGTTTTTTGCCGTCGAATCGGATGAATTGAATAAGATCAACAGACCAAAATGAACAAGGATGTGAAAAGCAAAAATGGTGTGTGGATAACACACCCCTTTGTTTATGGGAATTTTTAGATGACGATTTGCATACTGTCACATGACTTTCTGTACTAATTATATACAAACATGTTAGGTTTTATTTTTCTTTTTCTAAAAGAAGGACAAATTATGGCAAATTATGGTTATCCATCTTTTTTTGCCCAGAGAGGGAATAGAGAATTTCATCTTACTCGTGGCTAGGGTCAAATAAACTTATCAGCTCGAAACATCGAATTCAGGACCTTCCATTGGGGTCAAACAGACTCACCAGCTCGAAGTATCGAATTCAGGACCTCCCGCATTTTTTTTGTTGGTTGGGAAACCGCAGTCTGCGCTCTTACCACTAAGCCACTTATTGTGATTGACATGTTAATTTCTTTTCAGACTGGTGCGAGACATCACTGAGAGGGAGGTGGATTGTCTGCCCTCCCATTTCCATACTTTTCTTATCTCCTCCTGTTTTATGTGGTCACTATTAAGCCACGTCAGTATTTTATATTCCTATTACTTTTTATTTTATTATTTTTATAAAAAAAATTAATATAAAATATTGACATGAATTAACTATGATCATATAAATAAGAGATTATGGGAATAATATGGAAATGGATAGCAGACAATCCACCTCTCACTTAGCGTATGTGACAATGAATCCGTAGCAATACAAGTTGCTCGCAAAGGCCGACGTCGTTTTGGGAAGTCAAATAGAAAGGAACTTGGGGCCAATAGCCAAAGTGTCTTTCCAACTTTTTCCAAAAATAAAAAATAAAAAAAAATAAAAAATCTTTCCAACTCCCAACTCCACAAATCCAACGGGGCCATAAAACTACAGGGAGTTGCAATTCCCTCTTTCCAACCGGTCAAACAGCAATGCGATCACCGTCGTACAACCACCATGTCACGGTGTTTCTCCTCCTCCTTCTTCCTCATCTCTTCCATGGCGTCGGAGGGGACTGGACCGGCGACTACTCCAAACTCTCCGGCATCATAATCCCTGGCTTGGCCTCCACGCAGCTCCGCGCGTGGTCGATCCTCGACTGCCCTTACTCTCCTCTCGATTTCAACCCTCTCGATTTGGTCTGGCTCGACAGCACCAGAGTCCGTCTCTCTCTCTCTCTCTCTCTGCTTTCAATTATCCGAAAAGCTCCGATTTCTTCAAATTTCTGATGATTTTGTGCGTTGCAGATGCTCTCCGCCGTGAACTGCTGGCTGAAATGTATGCTTCTTGACCCTTACAATCAAACGGATCACCCGGAATGCAAGTCCCGGCCCGATAGCGGCCTTTCGGCGATCACGGAGCTCGATCCTGGCTACATAACAGGTAACATTTGCATTTCTCTGAACTTCATCTGTTTCTGATTCATATTTTCAAGCTTTTGCCTTTCTTTTTTTTTTTCTTTTTCGAAATAGGTCCTCTTTCTTCGGTGTGGAAAGAATGGCTGAAATGGTGTGTTGAATTCGGAATCGAGGCGAATGCAATTATTGCTGTGCCTTATGACTGGAGGCTGTCACCATCTAAGCTCGAGGAGCGAGACCTTTACTTTCACAAGCTAAAGTTTGTATTTTTATCTCCTTTTCATGCTGTTCTTACTAATTATTTTATGTTCTTCTACGAATCCGTCAGTTTCGTTACTACCAAATTGATGCAATAACCAGAAGTGTTAGTGTCAAATGATGTTCATATGCTAACTTGTTAATTATGTTTGGACTTTCCATCATGTGAAAAAATTCAGATTAACATTTGAAACGGCGCTGAAACTTCGAGGTGGGCCCTCATTAGTGTTTGCCCATTCACTAGGGAATCATGTCTTCCGCTACTTTTTGGAGTGGTTGAAGCTGGAAATTGCACCAAAACATTATATCCAATGGCTGGATGAGCACATTCATGCCTATTTTGCCGTTGGTACGGTTGGATTACATCAAAATCTGTTTAACTTGAAAGTTTTGTTGCTTAGAATCGTGTGTGGTATTTATCTCGTTTGTTTTGTTGACTTGGTTCAAGGAGCTCCACTACTTGGTACAGTCGAGGCAGTCAAAGGAACACTTTCTGGATTAACATTTGGCCTTCCTATTTCTGAGGTGACCTCTTTTTTGCTAGTTGATAAACCTCCTCAAGATAGTTTGTTTGTTTTTCTTTTCCTTTACTCCTCCAAGATGTAATTGTAGCTTTTGTCTTACGTTTTGTTTAAGTATTTGTTAATGGCTTATGGAAAAAAAACAGAACAAGCCAATTGTTTTGTCTTTTAAGTCATTACACTTCAGATACGTAAATACCGGTGAGAAGTCCTAAATTTTTTGTCTTGATCATGCTCTGTAAACTCAAGAAAATAAATGCGTCTGACAATCAGTTAAACTTAAAATCACTTTTCAAGCCTAAATATCTTGTCTTGAAATAGTGGATATTCATGATAATTTCTTTTAGATGTAAAATTCATGTTGTAACATGGTTCATATTATATGTGTTTCCGTTATCAGGGGACATCTCGGTTGATGGTCAATTCTTTTGCTTCTACATTATGGATGTTGCCATTTTCAAAGTATTGTAGGGCAGATAATACATGCTGGAAACATTTCTCTGCGGATGTCAGGGACAAGAGTGGTCATCATAATTATCATTGTGATGATAGGGAATTTCACTTTAACTTCTCTGGGTGGCCAACAAATATTATCAATATTGAAATTCCTTCAATCCCTGGTAAGATTTTGACCACAATGCACTTTTTTTTTTTGTTGCAATGTTGTTTTTCATAGGTACTCTTTGCATCTTATATTGACAGGATTTGGAGCGTATCCATCTGTTACAGAAGTAGCTGAGGGCAACTTGTCTAGCATAGAATGTGGGCTTCCTACCCAATTGTCTTTCTCTGGTTGCGAAATATCAGATGGGACCTTTTTCAAAGCAATAGAGGATTATGACCCAGACATGAAGAGGGTTTTGCATCAATTAAAAAAGTGAGTATTTTGATATTAATCATAATGAAGTATCATTTTGCTTGCTTGTTTTTCTGACATTGGTGCCTTTACGTGACAGCTTTTGTTGTCCATGTTGCTGGGTTGAAACTTAGTCCTTTACAACTTCTAGTAGTGGCATGAACTTCAAGCTTTCTTCAATAGTTGTTATACTTTCATCGATTAGTTAGGTTAGTGTTCCATTACCTAGGGTAAGCAACACCATCAAATGCCAGTGGCAAAGGACACATTTTCCCATACAATGTGTTGCTCTTTTTCATTGTATATATATTACCGGTGGACATTAGATTAAGCTATCTTGACTGTAGTTCCCAGGTTTTATATGGATAAATGATCTTAAACAGAAAGTTTCTGTGCTATGCATGTGGTCCCTTAACATTCTGTTTCTACTTTTTTTTTTTTAAATAAATAAATATGTTTTGACCTTTTTCAAGCTATATGATGTTGATGTCTGTCTCAGCTTTTCAACTGGACTGTTTATTTCAGGTTATATCATGATGATCCAGTTTTAAATCCGCTTTCACCATGGGACAGGCCACCTCTAAAAAATATATTTTGTATCTATGGAACAGACTTGAAAACCGAGGTATATTTGCAACATAGTAGCAAATGATATATTTCTTTGTATCATGACTGAAGCAACTTCACATGATTGGCGTTCTTGTTTGGTTTTTGTTGTGAGTTTTCTATCAAAGTAGTGAATTTGGAAATATAACTTTCGTCTGCTTTCTTTCATAGTATTTTCCATGCTTGAAATAATTGTATTTTATTATTACCAGGTCATAGTTGCTTATAAGATGCACTTGCTGCTACTCTTCAGATCAATAAGTTTTAGTGACAATAATAAAAGCTGCTAGATTCTATTCATCCTAAGATATGTTTTTCTTATGACTAGGGATTTTTGGGTGCCTGTTCTACATTTAGCTGCTACCGGTGTTGTGGTGAATGATAGTTTTGGTGTCTTGGCATGGAAAAACAGGTTGGTTACTATTTTGCACCAAGTGGCAAGCCCTACCCTGATAATTGGATCATTACTGATGTGATTTATGAGCTTGAAGGTTCCTTGTTCTCAAGGTAAGTTTCCTCCTGACTTTCCATACTACACAAGTACACCTGGTGCATGTCACTTGAATACATTTACTGCAAATGCATTATCAAATGTGATATGTACTTAACTGGTAGGCCTCTTTCTCCTTCTGTAAGGGTCTATGTGGTAAAACATCATTGGGTGTTGACTTTATCGTGTAAGCAAAGCAGATAGATATCAACATATTATCATTTCTGTATATATCAATTACCTAATTATTGCACAAATGACGTTTTGAAAACTGGCATACGTTCAAAGTGTTACAGTCCTTTTTGGAAACTCTACAGTTGACAATTCCATTATATTCTTGTAGGTCAGGAAATCTTGTTGATGGAAATGCAGGAGCTTCAAGCGGGGATGAGACTGTCAGTTAAAAATTATTTCATGCAAGCATGGTTCAAGTTTGATTCTCCTGCTTCATTAACACTTTATTTAACAGGTCCCATACCATTCTCTTTCTTATTGCAAGAATTGGCTTGGACCAAAAGTCAACATAACTAGGGCGCCTCAGGTATTTGTCTCTCCTTTGAGTACATAGTACATGAGTTTGTCTGAAGTGACTCATTTCATTTGTCTGTTTAAGAAACAAAAATGAGAATCTTCATCAGTAAGTTTGATGTGCTTCTTCACCAGTAATGTGACATCCCACATCGCTCAGGGGAGTGATCCTTAAATGTATATTCTCATCCCTACCTAGCATGAGGCTTTTTGGGAGCTCACTGGCTTTGGGTTCCATCGGAACTCTGAAGTTAAGCGAGTAGCACACGAGAGCAATCCCATGTTGGGTGACCCACTGGCAAGTTCTCGTGTGAGTTTCCAAAAACAAAACCGTGAGGGCGTGGTCGGGGCCCAAAGCGGACAATATCGTGCTACGGTGGTGGAGCAGGCCCGAGAAGTGGTCCGCCCCGGGCCGGGATGTGACAAATGGTATCAGAGCCAATCCCTGGCTGGAAGTGTGCCGACGAGGACGTCGGGCCCCTAAGGGGGTGAATTGTGACATCTCACATCGCCCAGAGGAGTGATCCTTAAATGTATATTCTCATCCCTACCTAGCATGAGGCTTTTTGGGAGTTCACTGGCTTCAGGTTCCATCGGAACTCTGAAGTTAGGCGAGTAGCGCGCGAGAGCAATCCCATGATGGGTGATCCACTGGGAAGTTCTCATGTGAGTTCCTAGAAACAAAACCGTGAGGGCGTAGTCGGGGTCCAAAGCGGACAATATCGTGCTACGGTGGTGGAGCGGGCCCGGGATGTGGTGAACCCCAGGCCGGGATGTGACAGGTAAAGTGCCCCTTGTATGTGAGTTTTGATTATTCATTTTCTTAATGTTGTAGTCGGAGCATGATGGTTCTGATGTGCAAGTGGAGTTGAACGTGGAACATCATCATGAAGAAGATATACTGCCCAACATGACAAGGTTGCCAAGGGTCAAGTACATAACTTTCTATGAAGATTCTGAAAGTATACCAGGAAAAAGGACGGCAGTCTGGGAGATAGATAAAGGTTTCCATTTTCCACTCTCTTGTAGTTATCCTATAATTATTTGTTGCACATAAATAAGAGATCTTGTATAATTTACCATCTTTGGTAACACTATCTTAATGTAGCGAATCATAGGAACATTGTTAGATCTCCAGTTGTAATGAGAGAGTTGTGGCTTGAAATGTGGCACGATATCCATCCCGATGCGAAATCAAAATTTGTTACTAAAGGTGAATTTTTCTTCTCTTCTTCATCTTCTATCTCCTCCTCCTTTTTGCTGACATGACATATAAATTCTGCAAACAGCCAAGCGTGGACCTCTGAGGGATGAGGACTGTTATTGGGATTATGGAAAAGCTCGATGTGCATGGGCAGAACACTGCGAATATAGGTTTGTTGTCCTAAAACTAATGTCTTTCCCAAAAGTTTTCCTTTTCACCCCTTAATTTTCAAGCTTGATGATGCAGATACCTATTCGGAGATGTTCATTTGGGACAGAGCTGTAGGTTGAAGAATTCTTCAGCGGATCTTCTTTTGCATTATTTGTATTAGGAGGTCTCTCTTTCTTCATTATCTTCTTACTAAAATTTTAGTTCCACCAGTTCTGCATAAATCGGAATATACAACAATATCATCATTATCCTACTGTTAGAATGAATTGTCTACCATGATCCATGCTGTTTTGGTGATATTTCGGGTTTGTCTCTTCAGGTACTAGCACGGACCCATTCAGGTCCCTTGCAGATATTTTCGAGAACTGGAGGCACATACCATTAACGGTTGAGCAATTCCCTTTTATATCAAGCAAAGTCGAGACTGCATCCCAGATCTTCAAAATGCTTGATGATTTTGTTGGTAGAAACCTTACTCAACGCCTCAGCTTTGTCTGCAGTCGATTTTTGCAGCTGGAGGACAGCACTGCTGTATCTGATTTGCTTGCCGCTCAGCCCTCCCAAACTGTGTCGCGCTGTATATTATTATTTTATGGTTAACTTTTAGTCTGCTATGAGGTTCTTGCCGATAAGTGTACCTTGTTTACTTGATTAGTATAGCTCTTAGAGGAACTACTGAACGACGCAAAGATCTGTATCGAACTAGAGTCTGTTGATATTCGAGATCCAACTGAAATAGGCATTAAACTCACATTTACAGAATACGATGTTGTTCTTGTAGATTTTGTATGTAAGTGTTGAAAATGTTCTTGAGGAGTGACGATTGATTGCAGATTAACGAACTTGTTACGAATAAATCATCTTATGCATCTTTGAATCCATATAACTGAGAAATCCTTGTTGAACATTTGCTGAGTTGAGAACAACTCAAGTGAAGAAAACAGATTCTCAAATGCCGTTTTTCGTTTAATTTCGACACTATTTCCGACGATACTTTCATGATATCCGGGGAAGAACAAAGATGGGTTCAAACAGCAATGGTAAGCCAAAGGAAACAGAATGAGAATTCAATTTTACATTTGTATCGATCACCCCTACAAGGAAAAGCTTATACAACAAAGATGTGTGGTTCATGGAGGAAGAAATAAATCTAAGGATCCCGGATCTTCCGAAAAAAATCAGCTATCTGCCCTTTTTGATCTCGAAGGAGTACTGAAGTTCCATATGGCATCTCCTGTCATCGTCTTCGAACTGCATAAAATTGAAACCGAGAAGAAACATCAGTTCATATTTTGCATACACACAAAAAGTAAATTTGGAAGTTGCTACTGCAAACTTAAGAGATCTCAAAAAACGACGCATCTTCCCCTTCTGATCGAAATGTGAATGAACAAGCCGTTGATTGCTAATCGAGATATAAAAGAAGGAACGGGGTATCATATTATGTATACACTTTTCAATCTCAAATTGAGCTCGCTGCATGAAAATACGCTTTGCAGAAGAAACACCTGTACTAACTGCCACGCACCTTAAGCTTTGCTGAATAAATGCCCCTTGCAAGCAACCCAGATGGAGTGGTCTCCTCTTCCAAAGTGTGCACGTATAGTTCTTTGTTAGGAGCAAACGTACCCAACATTCCTTTGCTCTGATCGACTGATGCATAAGAGAAAGAAAAAGAAAAATTGGTATAATGGTTAGCATACAGAACATAAACCTAATCCCGGGCGGTGAAAATGAGAGCATTCTATGCTTTACTAGTCTTACCTCCTTCTACATTAACATGTTAACATATTTCAGTAGTATAATTACATTACTGCCTTTAAGGTTTAGCCAAAAGTTTTCATAAGCTTTCAACCGTCTCTATTGCACTTAAAACATCTAGACAGGATGATAAAACACTATTAACTACCTTGGAGTCCTCCTTTCCACACTGTGTTGGAGTAAGTAAGGCCAGAAACAATGTTGTGCAGAACACTAAATGTTATCTTAAGCCGATATTGAGATCCCTCTTGCAGTGTAAACAGGACACGATCGATCTGATTTTCAGCGACAGGCAAGGCAGTAGTGATTTCCCCGAAGTCCTCAGAGATGATTCCGATGGAGTGGAATTTGACTTCAGGTTCCATTTGGCCTAATGAAATGGAAAACTCTTAGCAAAAATAAGACAACAGATTCAAAAAGCCACAACAAAGTAACTGAGGAATAAAGAACCGAATATTAAAAAAAACACGAAAAACAAACCATTCAAATCGCCTTCCAAGCTACCAAGCAGCTTCTCTTTCCACCTCCTCAAGCTTTCATCATGCTGTCAAGCACAAGTAGCTTCAAAATTGAATTGGTAAACTCCAAACACTTTGATTTTCCATTTCACACAAACTAACTAATTGATCTAATTGGATTACAAAACTAGAAGTAACTTTTCAGTTGCAAAACACATTATCATCAAGCAACTGAACACAATTGAGATTAAAAATTCAAATGCTTGGGCAGTGGCAGGGGTCACACATTCAGAAAGATCAGAAAATGGGATCAGAAAAGAACCCTTCTCTTTTCTTTTCCTGCATTTTCTGACAAACCAAACACATATCTTTTGGGTTCCAGGATAAATCCAAAACAACCCATTGCACATATTGAATCAAATCAAAATCCCACTAATTAAGCAAGATTAAAACAAACCCAAATTCCAAATAAAAGTAAAAAAAAATCAAAAATCAAAAGAGAGAAAAATCAAGAGAGTACCTTGTCCTTCTCAATCTGTTCCTTGAGAGAAACCAAAGGTCCAGGAATAAAACCATCAGCAGCAACCCCATTACTCTTATCATCTTCTTCCTCGTCTTCTTCTCCAACATCATAAAAGCACTCAGCTTTTCAGCCATTTCCTTCTGCTTTTCTTGTCTTCCTCTTCCCTGATCACTTACAGCTCCAGCTGATGAAAACCCACCAGACGATGATGCTCCTGCTTCATCCCCCCTCTTCCCTCCCTCCATCTCTCTCTCTCTCTCTCTCTCTCTCAAACGAGAAAAAAAGAAGGTGATTATGATTGAAATGGTGACAATAATTACGCATAATGTCGGATATACTGTAGTAAATTTTGTCCTTAACTGCAAGATAGGACAAACAACCTTGGGGTCAATGCGGTAATGAATCTAAATACGTAAAGTCCATTTTACCCACCTAATTAGGGCACTATTCGCTTTTTACCCTTTTTATCCGACCTTTTAGCCAAATAGTTTTTTAAGACTTATATAACTCTTTACTTTGATCCTTGATAGTTAAGATCGATAAAAGTGGTCATTGAGTTTGTTTTCCTTCAATCATTTTGGTCCTTCTGGTACCGTTTGGTACGCAGACGGGACGGAACGGGATGGAACGGGACGGGACGGAACGGAACAAAGATTTCGTGTCATGTTTGGTACTAGCAAGATGGAACAGAACGGAACGGGATTAAATGACTAACTTACCCTTTTTATTTGACTCTCCCTCTCTCTCCCGTTTCTCTGCTTTCTCTTCTTCCATACGTTTCGTGTTCTTCGCATGCCCAGATTGATCCCAGTAAAAATCAATCTCAGTAAATCAAACCCATAAAAATCAATCTACAGAAGATCTGAATCTCGAAAGTTCGTATTCAAACAACCATTTTTACTGTAAAACTTACAAAATTAAACTAAAAAAAGTGAAATTGAACAAAATGCCCAACGACATAAAAGAGCAAATGGGGGCAATCTTGCTCTGCAATCTGCACAAGAAGAAGTTAGGGTTATGAAATCGTAGAAATTGGGAATTGAAATCGTAGAAATTGGGGTAGAGTTGCACGAGTTTCTTGAGGTTTTGGGCGATGTCTTGGTGGACAATTGCATGGTCTAGGGTTTTGGGTCGGTACTTGTCTACCCACAACACCATCTTCTTCAGTCTTCACTGCCGTCACCGGATCGTGATTGGTACCGCCTCGGCGAGGAGGTCGGAGCGTCGAAGAAGAAGGTGGAGCGCGGAGGTGACGGCGCCAGAGAAGAAGGTTGAGCGCGGAGGTGACGGCGCCGGAGAAGAAGGTAGAGCGCGAAGGGACTGAACCGGAAGCCATGGTTTGGGTTCAGATGGGTTTGCTGGGATCGAATTCGAAGAGAGGGAGGCTACAGGAGGGAGGAACGAATTCAAAGAGAGGGAGGCTACGGGAGAGAGAGGAAGGGTAGACAGGGGAATTAATGAAAAAGATGAGGGGTATTGTTGTCCAAAAAATTATAAATTTGTGTTCCATGGGATGGAACAACCCGTTCCAGGGGGGTATGTGGAACCAAAATTTAACCCATTTTCGTTCCGTGGGACAGGCGTTCCACACAATTTAAGCACACCAAACGTGGGACGGAACGCATCCGTCCCACTCTGTTCCGTCCCGTCCCACGTACCAAACGCACCCTCTGTGAACATCTCTATTTATTAAAGATAAAATGACAAAAACATCCTCAATTATTGTCAAATTATTTTGGCCAATTGTTTATTAAATTAAGGGTATTTTTGTCATTTTTGTCCTTGTTTAATATAGATTTTCAAGCAATGACCAAAATGATTTACGGTGGACAAACTCAGGAACCACTTCTATCGATTTCAAATCTTCGAGACTAAAGTAAGGAGTTATAACAATCTCAAATACCAGTTTGGCTAAAATGCCTTTTTTCCATTAGTTAGGATTTGTGCTTTCAATTACTCTATTTCACAATAATTTATGTTGTGTTTTGATAAATTTAAACTAGCAGATGCCCACACACATTGTGTGTTAACAATTTCATTTCATTTTGTTTTTTATTATGAAGTGGGATAAGTTTTTAAAATTCTAAAAAAAAATCAGTTATGAGAATTAGGATAATGATGTTCTTCTAACGTGGGAATAGCTTTTATTTTATTTTTAGTTTTTAAATACGGCATGTTATACTAACTTGACTATGAGGTTGCTGTAAAAACAGCAAAATTTATGTTCATGTAATTACTAAATTGCCTGTATTTTTTACTTGATTTCAGTTTGGTGAGGGGGTTAAAATGATAATTTCTTGAAGTTTTGGTTGACAAACTGGGTTTTATTAATAGGTAGTGTAGATTAAGATAAGTTATTTTATACTTAAAGAAACTAATAAGTTTCACATTAAAATCGGTTATTTTATACTTAAACAACAATGTATTATATTGCTACAAAGGATGTTAATAAAAGTGTTTTTACTAGAACTGCTTCTAATCATGTTTTTTAAGACACAATTTCAAACAAGCCCGTTATATCTATTTATAACCATCTGAGTTTAAATGAGTAAAAATGCCACAAAACCGAGTTTAAAAGAAAATTGACAAGGCATGTACCAAAAATAAAAAATATATATTTGGGTTTAATGGGCTTCGAAGAAAGAAATGACTTGGCATTACTACGAGTGGTACTCAAGTTTCGTCTATAGACTAGACACCCATTAATTTTATTTAAAAGTACAATGACTCTTATACTCGTGTATAAAAAAACTACCAAAATGAGCTTAATGATTTCTTAAAGAAAACAATTATTTTCTTTGGACAATGTAGTCACCAAACGACTGATGAATTTCACGACTGTTGAATTTTACTTTATCGTGCTTATTTAATTCACGTTGTCATGCTTCTCTGAAAGTGTACTCAAATAGCACGATGAAAAACATAGCGACAATCTTGAAAACAACAACGTAAGTTTTTTGCATTTACTTATTCTATTCTTAAGTTCATATTCTTTGTGATGATGTTGGATACACCATAGTTTGTAAGAACCTTGTTGGATTAATACCCCAAATCCAGATGGTATGCTCTGCAAT